CAATATTCCAATTCATTCAAACATGAAAACTGAGTGAAATTTCGACATACGATTCGATACCAAAAAACCTCTATGATCACCACGGACTATAGAACGACCATTAATACACTTTTGTTAGTGATCCTCAACTAAATTACACCCAATAATAGCTCTTGTTGTAGCCCCAGACCAATACAATGAGTCAACTAATCATGCCCTCAACAAGCTGAATCCTGTGGGGTTTTCGGGGGTCGTGAATTTATGACAGCTATTGCAAACTTCATTTAACTTTTACCCACAACTAACAAAAATGAGCACAATCTACGTAAGCTAATTTGCTCATGTTTTAAACTCCATGGATTGGTTAAATCTGGGATCCTTAATAGTAAAATAAAAACAGGTAATATATGTTAAAAAGGGATGACCCCAAACTACTCTTCAATCTGAAAAGAACAGTGTAATTTAATCACTGAAGATGATAGGATTAATTCTCTACCCAGGTAAATGGAAAGTCATCCCACACCAAACCCATCACCCCACATCAATAACACAGTTACTCCTGAGAATTGAAGACAGAAATACTAAGCATCGTCATCAAAGAAGTCCTCTGTGGAACAGTGCAAAAGGATGTGATCAACTGTGTTCAGTCAGTTCCTTCTCCTTAGGAAGTAGAACTATTTATCTTTCTTACTGATGAGTCATGGTTTATCAGGCTTACTGATGAGTCAGGGTTTACCTGTCTTACTGATGAGTCAGGGTTTACCTGTCTTACTCACGAGTCAGGGTTTATCTGTCTTATTGACCTGTCAGGCGGCGGCGGGAGCGCGTGACATCGCCTCGGCGTTCGACCTGTTCGTCACGCCGCGCGTGGAGGCGATCGTCCTTGAGGCCACGAACCGCGAGGGCTCGCGGCGACACGGTGACGCCTGGCGCGGGATGGATGCGGTCGACCTGTGCACCTACGCGGGCCTGCTGATCCTGGCCGGCGTGTACAGGTCCCGGGGCGAGGCCGCGGCGAGCCTCTGTGACGCTGAAAGCGGACGGCCGATTTTCCGCACGACCATGCCGCTCAAGGTGTTCTACGCGTACTCGAGCCTGCTGCGCTTCGACGACCGCGAGACGCGGCCCGCGAGGCGCGTAGTCGACAAACTGGCCGCCGTGCGAGAGCTCTGGGACGAGTGGTCGGTGCGCCTGCCGAGCCTCTACAACCCCAGGCCCGACGTGACTGTGGACGAGCAGCTGGTCCCGTTCAGAGGTAGCGGCTGCGTGTTTGTGCGTGTGTGTCTGTGTGTCGCTCAACCTTCGACCTCCTACTTGTGCTCCTTCTTCCCCAGGTCGCTGTCCGTTTCGCCAGTACATGCCGAGCAAGCCGGCGAGGTACGGGATCAAGGCGTGGGTGTGCTGTGACGCGTGGTCCAGCTACGCCTGGAAGATGCAGGTGTACACAGGGAAGACGCGCGACGGCCCCGAGAGATACCTGGGCGCGCGGGTTGTGTTCGGCCTGACGGAGGGACTGCCCCGGGACCACATGGTCACCTGTGACAATTTCTTTACGTCCTACGAACTCGCGCAGCGGCTCCTCGCGGACAGGGGTCTCGCCCTGGTCGGCACGGTGCGCAAGAACAAGCCCGAGCTGCCGCCCGTGCTGCTCGTGACCAAGAGCCGACGGGTCCTGTCGTCGGCATTTGCCTTCACGCCCATCGCCATGCTGGTGTTCTTCTAGGCCCGCGAAACAGGAACGCGCTGCTCCTGAGCACGCTGCAACGCGGATGCCCAGCTCAGCGACCGCGCGTACAGGAAGCCCGCGGTCATCCTGAACTACAACCGCAACAAGGGCGGTGCTGGCCCCTGGCCGTATTCCACAACATCCTCGACGTGTCCTCGTACAACGCCTTCGTGATTTGGCGCGAGGTCCACCTCGACTGGATGCCCGGCAGGCGCAACAAGAGGCGCGTGTTCCTGGAGCGCCTGGGCAAGTCGCTCGTGAGGCTGCTCATCGAAAGGCGCGTCACCCTGCCGCGCACGGAAGTGTCCGCGGCGGTCATGAGAAGGCCCTATGCGGCACGCCGCCCGATGACGTGCTCTCGCCAGACGCCCCGGGGCCGAGCGCGCCCGCTCCGGAAGCGCCCGCGCCGGACACCCGAGCCAGCAAGAGGAAGAGGAGTCAGATGTGTCCGTCCAAGAAGGACTGCAAGACGCACACGGTGTGCTGCCGGTGTAACAAGTACATCTGCAAACACTGCTCGCGAGCCTACTTTTCCGCGTGCGCCAACTGGGGCTTCGTCCGGGGCAGGACGATTTGACAGACGATCGGTGTGTTGTTGTTGTTGGGTGTGTGTGTGTTTTGAACGCCTATGTTGCCATTGCTTGAAATGTACCGTATGTCCCGAAACACCCTCTGCCCACAACCGGACACGGAATTTATAATGAAATAAATAAAAGATTACATTAAAACGCACGCACGTCGTTGTGTTTCGGGCTCCTCTTTTCTAGCAAAACTCCTGGGGCAGGGAAAAGGGATCGCGGGTCACTCTGACCCGCTCAACTCGGGGTGTGTACGTGTTGCGAGAACAACGACGGGGTTAGATGCCGGGGTTGTGAGTTTGAGCCTCGCCCGTTGCGGTGGTTTATTTCGCCCCCTCCTAGATAATTACTAATAGCAATAATAATAATAAACCGATAACAGTGAAACACGCGCACGTTGTTGTATTTCGGCCTCCTCGTTTTTGCTAAACTCTGAGGACTGTGAAAAGAGATCAAGGGTCACTCTGACTTGCTAGACTCGGGGTGTGTACGCGACGCGAGGACAACGGCGGGGTTAGATGCCGTGGTTGTGAGTTCGAGCTTCGCCCGTTGCACTGGTCACTTTCGCCTTCCCAGATAAATACTAACAGCAATAATAATAATAAACCGATAACAGTGAAAAACATGCACGTTGTTGTATTTCGGCCTCTTCCTTTTTGCAAAACTCTGAGGGCTGTGAAAAGAGATCGCGGGTTGCTCTGACCGGCCCGATTTGGGGTGTGTACTCGACGCGAGGACAACGGCGGGGTTAGATGCAGGGGTGGCGAGTTCGAGGCTCGCCCGGGGCGGTGTTGTTTTTCACCCTTGCCGATAAATACTAATAAAGATAGTAATAATAGATGGACAACGGTGAAACACGCGCACGTTGTTGTATTTCGGCCTCTTCCTTTTTGCTAAACTCTGAGGGCTGTGAAAAGAGATGTTGGCGTCTAAGCTTTCTAGGAAACACACTCTCTCTGCCCTCTCCGCTTGAGTAGAGCTATGTTGGCGTCTTGCTATAGATCTTGAAACAGTGTTTATCGCTATGTCCGCCTCGGCCTCTTCTTTCTTTCTGATCATGGTCAGTTTATTCTCTCGTTCCATGGGGTGCATGTACAATTGAAAAGACGTCAGATTTGTCCTACTTTTCAACGTTGAAAACAGGTCCATCTTGTCCTACTTTTCAACGTTGAAAACAGGTCGATCTTAGACGTTGAATAGACGTAAACCTTCAACGTCTAATTACGGTCCACAGCACACAACCCTTGTCCAGGGTCCCAAGATTTTGCGTTAATTTTTCATGCGCACACTACACATTTCTGTCACCAGAGGATGACATCGTTGCCGTGCCACCAACGAGTTTTTCAAGAAATCAGACTAGAGATAAAAGACACTCATCTAAGAGATGTGTCCGAAAGCAAAGAAGATGCCGGTGCTCAATTTGAAACTATATGCTTCAGACACGTGACGCCAACCGCATTCACAATACCATACCAGGAGTGGGGTTTGAACCGATGAGGACATGCGTCCATTGGATCTTAAGTCCAGCGCCTTAACCTCTCGGCCATCCTGGTTATATCAGATTGTTTATCATATCGAACAATTTTCCAATTCATTCAAACATGAAAACTGAGTGAAATTTCGACATACGATTCGATACTTGTGCTTTGTGGAGCGCCAAAAAACCTCAATGATCACCACGGACGATAGAACGACCATTAATACACTTTTGTTAGTGATCCCCAACTAAATTACACCCAATAATAGCTCTTGTTGTAGCCCCAGACTAATACACTGAGTCAACTAATCATGCCCTCAACAAGCTGAATCCTGTGGGGGTCGTGAATTTATGACAGCTATTGCAAACTTCATTTAACTTTTACCCACAACAAACATAAATGAGCACAATCTACGTATGCTAATTTGCTCATGTTTTAAACTTCATGGA